AAATAATTTAGTTTTTAAAAGGAATCTAACATCAAATAAATTGCCATTTATGTTTTACTTTTTACAGGAATTACATATTCAAAGATAAAATATTCAAAGATAAAAAATAAAAAGCCATGAATAACACTTCTTTTTTTTTTTTTTTCATTTAAATGTTAAAAACTATAAGAACAACATAATCAATAAATCAACATATCATGCATTTATTAATACTAAAATAATTTATTTGTGGCCAAATTCACAGAAGCGGAATCACAATTTTCTAGAAATTCAATTTGGATATTGGTAAACCCCACAAACAATGGGTTGATATGAACATCAAATTATTATTTTCTTTTTAAGAAAAAGAGAGTTCTACAATCATAATTAAAGGGTTTGGATGGGGTTCGCAGTGTGTTTGAAGGTTTGTGGTGTATTTGCAAGTATTTTTTCACAAAAAAAATTCAACATTTTAATCAAAAAATAGGTTCTTATGAATGTATTTAATTTTCTTATTGATATACCAAGTGAGTCATTCACAATTGAATAGTTTGGTTTTCTACAGTGTGTTTTGGGAGGTTTGTGGGATTTAGCAATACCATTTAATGCACCATAATACCCTGCCCTCACAATTACACGCCATTTTAATTCTTAGCATAATTGCCATTTTAATTCTTAGCATAATTTCCATATTTACATAACTATGTATAGTATATCTCAGTTTACATTATTTAGTATAGTTTTGAAAATAATAGATTTACAAAAAAAAATATTATGACCACTGGTTTCTGAGCCAGTAGTAGGCACCTGGATTTAGTTGGCGGGGAGTAAAAACCAAGTATGCAATTAAATAAGTTGCTTAAATAAATGTATTCCTAATTATTCAGTTTACTCACCACTGTTTTACCGCAGAAGAAAAGCTCTTACAGCACGGTTGGTATTTTTTGTTAGCGCAGAGCCTTTGTGTTACGTCATCACTATATCGTGGCTTAGCACCGATCGGGTGGTTTTTTGATGATCGCGAACAAATGGTACTACGTCAAAACACATGTATTACTATTAATTTTGTAATTAAAACACGATACCACTTCAACACTTTATTAAAATATAGTTGCAATTGTCATATGCATATAAATACTCATATAATTAAAACGTACAGAATCACAGTTAAACGCTAAACTGGGTCTAATTTCAGGGCTCAGGCCGTATCTGCACAACCCGGCTACAGTTGTAAGGAAAATGAGAAAAACGGCCGTCGTAAAAGCACAATTATGAAAAATTCAGAACTAGCTTTATTTTATTATTTTGAAATAATTACTTAGATGATTTTGATAATTTTAATTCTTTTAAAAAAATCTTGACGTTTTTTATTTTAGTTATTTATTTGCCAAATTCCAAAACGGTACACTGATACACTGGCCACGCTTCCCAGCTTTTCAACTGTGGTGATTAACCTGTCTAGGCCTCCGCATTACGCTCTTATATGCATTCAGCGTACATGGTCACTTAACACAGTGATGCGCGATGTAAACCAAGTCACGGTTCAATGCGTAGGCCTAACCTAAAAATAATAGTAAAGTTAAAGACCAAAGGCTAGAGGTGCAGCAGAGTAATCATGTTTGATGTTGGTTGAACAAGCTACTCGTCATTGTGGTAACTGCAAAAACAAAATATCCATAGCAAAAAAATAATCTGTAACTATAGAAATAAAAAGTAATAATGTACTTGCTGTGTGTGGTAAAACAATCAATAAAAGAAATGCTAAAAAAAAAAATATATATATATATATATAATTATTCTACTCAAAAATTGATCAGATAGATATTTTTTTTTTCTAAAATAAAATGACACCTGTATTAATTATTAGCCTATTTAAAGTTACATGCAAAAATTCAAATAAACTATTTACCAGTTTAATACTGCGATACACAGTTGAATTTTTTTTTAATGATTTCACTACTTTATATCCAATTTCATATTATACATACTGTAATAATTTACTATTTTTAAGCAGTTCTTTAATCCTTGTCGATAGTCAGAGAGCCCTCGATAGCAAGCATTCTTCAATTAGCAATCCTGCCATATAGACCCTTTAAGTGGCTCCTGTTATTTTGGCGAAATAAATGATATATGACAACCAGCAAAAAATTAATTAAATATGTCTATCAAAATGTAATCAATATTAATTGCTCTTTTGTATTATTTTAGGTTGCATCTATGTTGTTCATGTATTTAATTTGTGTGGGAAAAACGATAATAAAAAAACAACAAAATATCTTAGTATTTTTCCTTGAATTTTTTGCAAAGAGAAACAAGTGATTTTCGAGATTATAATCAAATAAAAAAAATTATATCATACTAAAGGTTTCTTTGACAAAAATCACTACTATTATTGTTTATAGTAATAGGCCTAAATAAGATGTGTATAAGAGACAGCCTTAGACTGCTAGAGGCTGGAAGAGAGCAATTATGCTTGACGTTGGTAGACAAGGTATTTGCCATGATGTTGCACTGTAAAATCACATGGGGCAACTGCAAACAAACAAAAACAAAATCAATAGCAAAGAATATTGTGAAAATATAGTTATAAAAATGTGTGTTCTGTGAAACCATATGAATAAAAGCTTAAAAAATATATGAATTAACTGTAGGCTGATTATTAGCCAATTTAAGGTTACATGCAAAGAGAATGGTGTTTTGTGTTAAATAAAATATTTTCTATTTTTTTCCAATTAAACATTAACAAATTGCAATATTTTGCAAATAGGTTTTAGGCTGAAGACAACAAATAGCTTTAATATTTACATTAATAAACAAAAGACCAACTGCTAGAGGTGCAGTAGAG